GTATTAATATCTTTAGTATTAATATCTTTAGTATTAATATCTTTAGTATTAATATCTTTAGTATTAATATCTTCAGATAGTATATCTAATATAGAAATATCTTCAGTAATCAGGCTTAGGGTAGGAGCTATTAGTATATTAGAAGAAATAGGCTTAGAGATAGACTCAGGTATAGGGATATAAGATATAGACTAAGACATCAAGGTTAATATATAAGATTATATATAACCTAATAACTAAGTAGGCTTAATATAGCTCTTGGGAATATACTAAATATCTAAACTAGTCAACTACTTGATATATACAGTATCTAATACCAATAAATTAGTTTAGATGAGGAACTGGATAATATCTTTATATATTATATTTTTATTAATATTCCAAGACTGAGGATATAATTGACTTCTCTAAGAGGAAGGGGCGTCTGTGATAGATATAATATAGTAGACCCGGTGCAATGTATCTGTATTAAGATATAGGTGTAGTAGATTTTCTGAATATATATAGAACTGAATAATTTAGTGTCCTAGTTCTGATATATAGATATAGATATTAAAATTATTATAAAGTAATTAAAATAATAATATATGGATTTAGTAGATAATTGGATAGGAACTTAAGAATAAAGTAATAATTAGATAGTCTAGAATATGGAAGATAGGGGTAAGATATAATAATAGTGATTTAATAAAGATGAGATAGTATATAAATTAGATAATTAGTAAATAAATTAGGGTAAGAGTCGAAGATATTAAGTAATTTACTTTAAGCTAATAAGGAAAGTAGAAGTAATAGATAGAATATTAGAATATGGATACCTTGTAATCAGTAACACAGATACCAGGAAGTTAATACAGATAACCCAGTAAACAACAAGACAGAAGATAAGAGATAATATAGAAAGTTAAGATATAATAATTTTACTAGTATAGACCTTAGTAATATATATTATATTCTGGATAACCGGGACATGCTACCATATATCATGGTATAGACAATTTATGAATAGGTATGTTATTAGTTAGTTGAAGACGGAAGACATCAAGATGGGTGGGAACGAAGTTCTCCCACTAAGGCGGCCAGGAAGGCGGCCAGACAAACAGACGGCAGAACATCATATCAGCAACATTCGCCACAATAGTCTAGTAAAGCTATATAAATTAAGTGAAAATACTATGTTTTATACTATATTCTAAGATAATATAACTGAGATCTTTCTTATAATATATCTTATCTAGCTTTATATATTATAGTTTACTATATTACTTTTGCTAATATCTTGTAGTTAAAAATATTATAAAGTTGCTATTTTTATAGTGGTAGTTATATAGGGGAACAACAGTTTGCTGTTGCACTGGTTCGCTGTCTGATTACGTTACTAGTTAGCATTTGTCGCAAGACCCACACTCACATGGTGCAGGCCCACTTGACCTTTCCATTAAGCATCCATTGCATTACCTCTCACATCGCGGAGTATGGTACTCACAGTCTCGCACTCACTTGACATGTATTAGCCCCCCAATGCAATCATGAATTCTACAAGCACTCCGGTCCTACTGCAGCCTTCGGTTCAGCCTTCCGACGAGATAGCAGGCCACTCGCTTGATGCCGAGCTCGAGAATTCGGAAATCAAGGTTTTCAAAAGGATCAAGTCATTTCCATTCGAAGAGGATGATGAGTTTGCCCACGGGCTCTCGATAATTCTCGGTCACCCTGACATACTAGCATCAAAAGCAGAGATTGAGCGTGATGATGACATCACACTGCAAGCTAAATGTTTCTACTTCTCGAGGTGAGACTTGTCAACAAGGGATTGCAAGCTGTGGGTCTAACTACAGTCGTCTTTGCTATTCTTCCTCGAATCAGAAAAGAGAATATCACGCCTCCCGTCAATGTGAGAAGATACCAAGCATGGCTACAAGCTGGATCGGTACCAGCACTTCAAGCTGCTAGCCTTATAGATCAGCAGCAGATCAGGAATGTGACAATTGCGGGCCATGCGAATGCACCGTTGGTGGAAACAGAGCCCGCGTATCCCTCTTCATTTGCGCACATAGTCGAACTCATCACCGCCGGACAACCCATACCTGGGATTCAGCAGATACCAGACACTATACTTATTGGTCAAGCCACCCCAAGTACAAGGTCCAAGAGACGGAAACCGTGGGAGCAGCAAAGCGATAATGATGCTGGCAAGTGAATGAATGCTGACTTGAGGCTCGTTTTGAAATATTTTGAAACCATGGCCAGTTACCCGTGTATCCTTGCTCCCAGTCTATAACAACTAGGCTTTCTAGTATACGAAAACAGTACTCCGATATGTTATATTATTTCAAAGGTAACAATAAGGACTCCGCAAAACAGGTACACTAGTGGCGAGTCATAGCTGTCATAAACCAATTTCTCTCACAGGCAATCATACTTTACACCACCCAGAGTTCTTCTGATACTTGGAGCGACGAAAGATATAAGGGACACAGGTAACCCATTTTCTTGCTAGTTTCCGTGGCTTTTGCTTCCTCTTCTCTCCGACTTGCTCCAGATAGATAAGGGAAAACAACTGGCCTGAATCATGAGCCACGATACACAGCATAGTGCTCTAGAAGCGCATATGAAATAATAAGATTTCAAATTCATCCCACTTGAACGATTTCTCACGCATAGAGCAAAGCGTTCCCGCTTGGAAGCTTGGCCATCGGAGCAGCTGTTTATAGGACGTACGGTGCCTGTTAACCACGTCGATGTCATTTGTGGCTCTCGTCGTCTGACTGAAAGAAAGGGATTGAATTCTTCGATAATCCTGTTTTTGACATTGTTGTCATCGGAATGGAGGGTGGTTGGGATACCATTGATTTGCGCGGCTGAAGCGCCCAGCGTATTGTCCGGAGACCGGATACCTGTCGTCGCTAAAATTGCTAAAACGATTGACCGAGAGGCCGGCGCCTGGTCCCGGACGAGTTATGTGGGAAGGGTTACAACATAGCATGGCCACGCGGGAACCGAATTTCGAGCCACGCAAGGACACCATGTGCTTCCTAGACAACACGTTAGGAACAAGCGCTATGTTCTAAACAAACATGATCACATACCTAATGTGGCTGGCTACCAACTCGCGCTGATGCGTTGCGGCATTGATCAATATCCATTGTACCAAGTAATTGCCATACTGGTCCCCAGCAACTGCATTCGATTAGTGATAGCTACACGCCATAATTAGGTTACGAGGGACTCACTATCGATTAACGGCATCCTCGGACGATCACTGCGGCCCGTGCATACTCGAGCAAGATAGCGATCGAGGAACTCCGAACCACCTATCTTAAGGCATTTCTCCACGACTTTCGAAGCGAATTGGTCCATGCTGTAATCGACCGACCAAGCAAGAATGTGCTCAACAGCGCGGCTTTTGTCGTGTGGGGCACCATGTTCGCAAACATGCTGGATGCACCAGTTTCCAAACTGACCATGAGCAAGTATGTCAATCTTCGACAAGACTTCCTCGATAGCAGGGCGCTGTGTGATGTGTTAGCAAGCATTGTGAGGCCAGCATAGTCGTCAAGTGTTCCTCGGTCAACTTGCTCCAGCCTCCGTACGCCGGTTGACAATGAGGGCAAGGGAGGGTTGCTTTGAGAGCAGATGAAAGGACACATGAGAGAACAAATGAGACAACAAGAATGGCAATTCACCTTTTCGTCTTCGACGCAATTTTCGAATATGTTCTGCACTACCAGACTTCCGGTCTCGCCTAAGGCGACTTCATGCCACATCCCGCATAGTGCTTCATTTACTTTGCTCATGATCTGCGGGGGCTCGTCACTCCACCGTAATTCAAAAAGCTTCTGCCAGACATGACACGCGTATCTATGAATGACGGTTTCTGGGATTCTTCGTAAAAGCTCATGAACCATAATCGCTTTATGTTCTTCTGGGACGCAATCAAAGGCTTTTTGTATCACATGGCATCCAAATGGATCCATACTTAGACTCAGAGTATTTCCTTTGATAGCATCGGCAATCGCGATGATTTGGTCGGGGGTTCCATGTTCGAAGCAGCGTTGGACGAGGAAATTCCCGAAGCGGTTTACCATGAGTGGATAAGCCTGGTGTACGATTGCCTCTATGATATCATACTTTTGCTCGGTTGTCCCGACTTTGAGCTTCTGTTGTAGGAATATCGAAGCTTGCTGGTCGTTATTACATACGATCTTATCGACTATATATTTCCAATCGCAAGAAACATTTTTGTCAAGTAGTCGCCGGTAGTTGATCGGTTCCAAGGGTGAAATATACGCCTGGCTGGCATTTACACCCACCTAATTTGATAAGCTTAAGGTCAACGCATGAGAGTATCGAGCAATTGCTCACCGATGAGGCCGGCCATGAGCTTGATGTATTGAATTCCGTGGCCGTGGGCGAAAGTGGGCTTCCGACGGTGCGTTGATGATATCCATGGGCTGGATACAGTCCATCTTGTTGATGATAAACGTCATTAGACCTATCCACAGGAGACCTAGAAAATGATGACTCAGGACTTAAAGCAAAGGCAGTTGGGAAGCATGATCCACCACGACTGTTTTGAGTGAATGAGCGCCGCGGGACGACCCCTGTGGCTTGGAGGTACCTGACTTGTTCCTCGGAGAGATTTGCATTGAGGTCGAAAGTCCCAGGGGCTGGACCTGAAAATACACGATGTGAGTGAGAGGCATCGTGTCTCGGCATAACAGAGTGAACACTCGAGCCAGCCCAAAATCTGTTCGAGTCGTCGCCATAAGGACTATTACAAGTCAAACGCAGTGATTCTTCGTAGTATCTTTCCGTGGTAGGGCTTATGGTTGGGTTCAATCTTTGCTGGGTTGCGGGTGCCCAAAAAGCCCGATTTCTGTTGTATGCTCCCGCGGAGAGTGCATCCGACATGTCTGACTGGGAGTCATCCTGCGTATTCCAGCCATCTTGGATAGAGCCGAATCCTGTCTGTGATGCCTTGAACGCACTCTGTAACTGGGCAATGGTCTGTTCTGTAACTTCTCGTCCATTAAACTCGGCTTCAGAAGGTGGCCCGAGCGCTTGGTCTATGGTATGTTTAATAACTCGAGTCTGCGCCAATTCCTGCTCTTGCATAGCTATCTTTGAGTTGGCGGCCATCAATTCCTGCTTTAAACGTAACATCTCAGCCATATTGACATGAGCTACCTGCGACGGCTCGGCTTCGGCCAGTTTAGCTGATGTCTGAGAAGTGACTGCTGATGGTAGACCCCCGGAAGATCTGTCAAGATTCGCATAATCATCTTCTAATTCCTGACCTGTCTTATCGTCAAACATGGGACGATTATGCCGCTTGAGTAGAAATTGTTGGCTAGGGAGCCTTGGAAACAGGCTCCGGTCCAGTGATAGTTCGGTCTCGGATGACTGAGGCTTGGGAGAGAGTTTTGCTAGAATTTTGTCCATTTCGGTGTGGGCAGTAGGTGAGATGATGCTGGAATGCTCCAACTTTTGCTTCTAGGCTTGTGAGGTCTTGAATCTATGGTTTTTGTCCGCGAGATCCTGACCTTGCTTGATGGGACCTCATTGTACGGATCACCCGCCGAGGTTGCAACGGCCCCGAAAAAGCTCGATGTTAGTGTCTCGGACACACCACCTGGGGCATTGGAATGTGCATGACTCTAAATTTGGAACGATGCCGTTAAAGACATACACATGCCGTGGTGTCTCGAGTGAGGGCATGGATTCGTGTGTCATCATGCACTTACTGAGATCTCTCCTTCAAAATCTAGTACATGTACAGCAGTAGCAGCATTGTGAGAAGGGTCGCTGTCGGTGCCGCTCGGCTTAGACGACGCTGTTGACATGAGAGACATCATGTGCCGACTGCAGACAATTCGAATCCGGCTTCAACGATTGCAACTGTATACACTCTAGTGGCACAGACTAGGGCGGGAGACTGGATCAGTTGGTGTCCGAACAATGTCACTTGCTTGAGAATGAATGAATATATGGTGATTATCGGCAGATGGATGCAGGCGACAACGATTATTGGTAAGACATGATCTGGACTTCAGCCGGAAAGGCAAATTCTAAGCACCTACTACCTGACCTAGTAGGCACCACAAAGGATAGTGACTGCGGAAGCCTTGTTCACCTAGCAACCCTACAACACCTAGTGTAGAGTGCTATTATAACTCGGAAGCAGCGAATGGGAGATCCGTTCAGTGACCGTTGTAGAAGGGGCAATGAAGTCCACCGAAGAGAATGATTCGGACTGGATCGCGTGTAGAGGGCAGGTGCGATGAAAGAAGATCCGCGAAGTAGACTAGCTACTCGTAAAGCCGCTTCCTTCAATCGTCAATAGCATCAATCTCAGCTCTAGTGATGTAGACATGTAAACTGAGGGTGATGCTCGTTGACATGAGCGCTTGTTCAGAACCAGAAAGTAGCCGAGCAGCTCGATAGAAGCATTAAATCAGTGATAACAGAGTGATTTTCGATCCACTGTGAAATGGCAAGAGCTGCTGTAGACTTAAGACCCTGCATTCGCAGCACTGAAGCTCAAGGTGCTAGAAGCTTCCATATCATGGGTTTGGCTGCAGTCTATATCGCAGCGGCTTGTGGAGTGGTGGAGTGGTGGACTCAAATGGTACCTCGAGGCGTCAGTCTAGTCCTCAATTTGGGGACACTGACAAACTTCCCCAATCGGTGAAAAACCTATATATATAAATCATCTCTGTCAGTCTAGGATGTCTTCCACAATTTCCTGGTATAACTTTTACGGGTCATGACAGGTCACACGCCTCTATTTATCACTATTATGACACATAATTTCTCCCTTCGCGGCGCCAGCCACAATTAGGGGCTTGAGAATGTCAAATGCTGCTGTTTTTTGTTAGAAATCACACGGTATATGAGGTGGACGTCCCCAAAATCTCAACTAGAGTCGGGGCTACCGTTGAGACACCAATTGACCATGCATCCTCGACGACAGAGGGAGCATAACAGCCTCTTCTATCTTCTTATAGTCTACAAGTGAGAACCGAACGAAGATCTGACGTACCCTGAGTACCCTGACCAGTAACAATTGTCTGCGCTGATTGATGCATTCCATATCGATCGAGTCTGCTCTCAAGCAGCATATGACTATTGCCTTGGAGAGAGGAGCTTTACCTAATCTTGAGATTTCCTACCGATCGAATGTCGAGGTATTTGATAGCTTGAATATAATACCTCTGCCTTTATAAGGCTTACTTCTTCAATTTATTATACAGTGAGTCTCGGCTTCAACTTAGACGGGGTAGGACATTGATGAATGATGACCACTGCGAGCGACAATATGTCCGATGTGTCCTCCGCAAAGAAATATGCTTTGTTAGTAACAAGTGTAGGTACAGTACGCAGCGCCTACTTGTTCACTTCAATTAGTAGGTAAAAGCATAGCTAGGCGAGTACTTAGTAACTTACTACGGAGTAAAGTTAACTAACGTTAGTTACATGGTGGACTAGTACTTAGTAAGGTAGTTAATAGTTAACGTAATTCACAGGCGGGCTGGCCACACGAGCAGGCTGGCCATCTCTGTATTCCTGTCAAAGTCGTTGGTAGGGACGTTTCTTATATCATCATGATGAAGTTGTTGATTCTCTCAGGATCCTGAGATGGGACGAAGTAACTAAGATCCGCCCAAGGCAGAATAATAGAACAGAATCCTCAATACCACTAGTAATCATTATATATGCCAGTCTTTCATAACAATATTCTTATTGTATATATAAATAAAAATATAAAGCATAGTGTAAGATATATTAAATAATTAATAATACTAATATTCTTTGTATTTGTTAATCTTTTTATTAGTAGTAATATCTAATATATATATCTACTAATTGTCTTTAGATCTATATTAGATTAGTAGATCAGATACTATCAAGGACTAAATAGCTTGTGTAGCAAAAGTAATAGGTTGCTAATCCTAAGTCAAATTACTTGGAGAACTATCTAAAATAATTAAGTCTTGATCTAATATTTATATTATATAAAGAAGTCTATAAAGTAGAATTCCTAGAAAGTCTACTAGTTTAATATAAAAAACTACTAATTAGTAAACTCTACTTTACTAGTGTTAATAAATAAAGATTTATTTTTGATAAATAATTCAAATAAAATAAAACTTTATAAGCTCTACTATCAAATAATTTATTCATTTTAATCTTTTATATTATCTTCTTCTTTAGACTATATTTTCTCTAAAGAAGAGTAGATAAGTAGAATTATATTTTATACTAGTTATTATTTATTTATTATTATATCTTTAACTAGTTTTAAAGATTTTTAGCTAGATTATATATATTTAATCTATTTTATTAGATACTTCTTATATTTATGTGATAGAACAACTACTATCAGGAGTAAGGTCATTGGAATGATGTACTATAGTGGTTATAGGAGTCATAAGGTCATTGATAGTAAACCTACATCTTCCCAATATCTATAAGATACTAATCTCTCTGTAGAAGACTACTAATCTCTTAAGAATTAGTCTATTTTATAGATATAGATTATCTTTATTATTACTAGATAAATCTATAGTATTTAGTAATTAATATATTTTAATAGACTTTCTATTCTAATAAATAGATTCTATTATATTCTAATTCTTTATTTTTAATTATCTAAAAAAGATACTACTATATTAAGATAATAAAAAACTAGAGATAATTAGTAATTAAATTATTATAGAATTATTATTAAATATTATTTCTACTATTAAAAAGATCTAATAACTTAAGAATTATATATATTAATTAGAATAGATTAATAATCTATAATAAAGAATAATCTATTTTAAAAAAAATTATTTCTCTAATAAAATCTTATTAAAATACTATTGATTATTCTCTAAACTAGAAAAGAATAAGAAGAAAATTAAGTTTACTAATATTTCTTACTTTATATTAAACTTTAATCTCTAGAAATATTAAGAATAGATTACTAATTTAAAATATATATTTTAGAAAGTCTTTAGAAAAAATTTCTTAAAAAAATATAACTTTATTACTACTATTAATTATATAGATCTAGTATATAAATAAAGATAATATTAATATATTATTAATAAGATTTTAAGAGAAAAATAACTTCCTAAAAAATTATAATACTAATTTAAAAACTAGATTTTAATCTTTATCTAAAATACTATAATATTTTAATTTAATATAATAGCTTAACTTAAATAAATATACTAATAATATAACTAGAATCTAAGAGAATTCTTTATTTATATTAATATCTTAGAGTAGTATTTTCTTTATTAGACTAAAAGAAAAAGAATTCTATTATACTTTACTAAAGTTCTTCTAGAATTAAACTACTATATTTAGGAAGTATATCCTCTATTTATTTAAAAAATAGAATAGAATAATAGTACTTACTACTTATTATTATAAATTCTAAAATAATAAAGAAAAGTATAAATAAAATAATAATTATTCTAATAATTATATACTATAGAAATAGTCTTCAGATTATAATAGTAAATTAGCTAAGAATAATACTTAGAATTATAAAAAGAATTTTATTAAAAAATATAATAACTAATTATATTATTTTATATATAAAAATATTTAATATCTTAGAAATTATTATTTTATTAAAGATAAGAAGATTAAAGTCTATTTATTCTTTTTAGAATTAGGAAAAAAAGTAGAGAAATTAGAATAATTTCTATAATATTTATTTCTTCATCTATAATAGAGACTATATATTATTTTTATATTTTTATTTATATCTAAAATAATCTTAAAATCTTTATAAATCCTAATAACTATATTAGAATAGATATTATTAACTATTAGTTTACTAAGATATATTATCTTTAATATACTCTAGTTATAACTTCTAGAATTAAAACTATTAATTAGATTATAATCTTTACTTATAGTATATAGAAGATCTCTATTACTACTATTAATTTATAAAAAAGTATCTATACTTTTAAATAATATTATATAGAGATTGACTAAGATTCTTAACTTAAAGAAAATCTAATTATTTTATTAATAACTATACTTTAGAATTTATATATTAACTTATTATCTTCTAATTATTAATAGTAATTTAGTATATCTTTTATCTTACTTCTTTTTATTATCTAGTTTACTAGAATAATCTAGAATTAAGCTATAATATATATTATAATTCAGTTTTCTAAAAGTATGTAATTATCTAAAAATAAATCTTATAATCTATCTCTAAATCCTAATCTAATATTAATTAAGCTTTAAAAGTTTTAAGATATATTCTTTATAAACTCTTTTTAGTAATTATTATCTTATAATTCTATAGACTATACTATTAATCTTGAGTTTAATAAAATATCTTTATATAATCTAATATATTCTCTATTCAAAACTAAGCTTAAGATTATATATAATTATATTAATAAAAATCTTAAATTAAAATATATTTAATTCTCTAAGAGCTCTACTAGAGCTCTTATCTTATTTATTTCTAAGAAAAATAATAGTTTATATCTTTATATAGATTTTAGAAATCTTAATAGAATTTTTATTAAGAATTATTATTCTCTATATCTAATTTTAGAGATTTTAAATAAAATAAAATTTCTAAAAATAAATACTTCTCTAAAATTAATATTATAGATATCTACTACTAAATCTATATTAAAGAAAAAGATAAATAGAAGATAGTATTCTATATAAGATATAATAATTTTAAATATATAATTATATTATTTACATTAACTAATATTCTAGTAATCTTCTAAAATTATATATATACTATACTTTATAGACTTCTTAATAACTTTTATATAATATATTTAGATAATATCTTTATCATTTTATTTAATAGAAATATAAAATATATTTATTAAATACTTAAGAGATTTCAAGAAGCTTAACTCTATATTAAATTCTTAAAGTATTCTTTCTATTAACTTTATATTAAATTTCTAAATTATATTATTAATAGTAAAGATATCTCTATAGACTCTTAATAAATAAATATTATTATTTTATAGTTAATATCTAAGAGTTATTATAATATCTAAGTCTTCTTAACATTCTATAATCTCTATTATATACCATACGAAAATATCAATTTTTGGCATTTGAAGTTTAAAAATTAATAACTTAATTAATTCTTAATATTTTTTAAAACTTTTTGAGAACTTAAAAATCTAACTATTTATTAGATTTTTAGGTCTATTCTTAGAATTTTCTATCCTAGTTTAGGAAAGTTATTCTAAAAAATATGTTTTTTTTTTAGAATTAAATACTATACTAATAGTTTATTCTTTTTCTTTAAAAGAAGAATATACTTTAGTTAAAATATATCTTTATATAGAAAAAATAAGACTAAGTTCTAATAGTTATTTTCTAAATTTTACTGAATTTTTATCTAATTTATAGCTTCTTTTTATAGAGTAGATAGATCTACTTTTCTTCTATAATTATCTATATATATTATAAGTATAGCTATTCTACTTTTAGTCCTAAATCATATACTCTATCTATATATAAACTATTCTATAAATCACTCTACTAATTATCCTACCAATCACTATACCAACCACCCTGCCAACCACCCTGCCAACCATCCTATAAACAGCCCTGCGAACGGTCCTGAGAATAGCTTGCGAATAGCCCTGTGAATAGCCCTGCGAATAGCCCTGCGAATAGCCCTGCGAGCAAGCCTGCGAGGAATAGCCCTGCTAACAGCCCTGCCAACGGCTCTGCGAGCAAGCCTGCGAGGAATAGCCCTGTGAGCAAGCCTGCGAGGAATAGCCTTGCTAACGGCCCTGCGAGCAAATCTGCGAGGAAAGCTCTGCTAATAGCCCTGCTAACAGCCCTGCAAGTAAGCTTGCGAGGAATAGCCCTGCCAACAGCCCTGCGAGTAAGTCTACTAGCAAGCCTACGAGGAACAGCCCTATTAATAGTTCTGCTAATAGTTCTGCTAACAGCTCTGCTAATAGTTCTGCTAACAGTTCTGTAAGTAAGCCTACGAGGAATAGCCTTGCTAACGGCCCTGTGAGTAAGCCTACGAGAAACAGCTCTGCTAACAGCCCTACAAGCAAGTCTGCAAGAAACAGCTCTGCTAATAGCCCTGCCAATAGCCCTGTGAGCAAGCCTGCGAGGAATAGCCCTGCCAACAGCCCTGCCAACAGCCCTGCGAGCAAGCCTACGAGGAATAGCCCTGTCAATAGCCCTGCGAGCAAGCCTGCAAGGCAGCCCACCCTTTCATATACCAAGTGTAGCAAGGATCTAAGGCTTATAAGAAAACCTATAAGGAATAGTCCTGCCAACAGCCCTGTAAGCAAGCCTGTGAGGAAGCCTATAAGAAACAGCCCTACTAATAGCTCTACTAACAGTCCTACTAACAGTCCTGCTAATAGTTCTGCTAACAGCCCTGCTAATAGCTCTGTAAGTAAATCTATAAGAAACTCTGCTAACCACCCTGCCAACTATCCTATAAACAGTCCTGCGAACAGTCCTGCGAATAGCTTTGAATAGCCCTAGAATAGTCCTGTGAATAGCCCTGTAAGAGAGTCTATAAATAAGCCTACTAATAAGCCTAGGAATAGCCCTGCTAACAGCCCTACAAGTAAGCCTGTAAGAAACAGCCCTGCTAACAGCTCTACTAACAGCCCTACTAACAGCCCTGCTAATAGTCCTGCTAACAGCCCTGCGAGGAACAGCCCTGCTAACGGCCCTGTGAGTAAGCCTGCGAGGAACAGCTCTGCTAACAGCCCTGCCAACAGCCCTACAAGCAAGTCTGCGAGGAACAGCTCTGCTAATAGCCCTGCCAACGGCCCTGTGAGCAAGCCTGCGAGGAAGAGCTCTACTAACAGCCCTGCCAACGGCCCTGCGAGCAAGCCTGCGAGGAATAGCCCTGTAACAGCCCTGCCAACGGCCCTACAAATAGTCCTACGAGCAAGCCTGCGAGCTAGCCTGCCACCGGCCCGGTAAGGCAGCCCAGCCCACCCTTTAGCAATCCGAGCGAAGCGAGGATCACCAAGGCTTGTCTATATATATTAAAACTCTTATAATACTATAATTCAATATCTTCTCTATTATAAAACTAATATAAGTTAGTCTTATAACTTATCTAAGGTAACTAGAAAATCCCTAAATATCTAAATAAGAATATTATCTAGCTACTTCTCTTTAAACTAGAGCCTAACTATATCTGAGATACTAATACAGAACAACTATTTAACTAAGATCTAAAGAATATAACTAGAATTTCTGGGTATAAAGCAGAGTCTCTTAATATCTACTCTAGTAATTCTATATTAATAGGCCAGAAATACTTTGTAGTTAGCTGTATATTACTAGTAAAGTATTAATATATTAGTTATTAAATAAGTCTATTTTTATAAATTATTTTCTATACTACTAAAGACTATAGTATTAATAGTATATTACTACTATTTATATAAAGACTTTTTTAAGGTATACTATATATTTATTTATAGTATAAAGAACTTCTCTATTAAAGTTAATAGAAGCTTTACTCTTCTTATCTTTAGCTTTAGAGAAAAAGTAACTATAGTACTAGTCCAGAAGCTCTATAAGTTCAGCTGTATTTCTGAGTATACTAGTAGATGTCTAAGTATATTAGCTAAAGTATATCTAAAGAGGTTTATAAATCTCTACTACTTTATACCCGCCTCGGCGGCTGTAATACTATTAGTATAGGATGGATTCCTCCCCATCCAGAATACAGTTAATTATAAAGGCCTTTTATTTATCTATGTTTTTAGGTTTAAAGTGCTTCAATAAGGTCTAGAGATAATATATATACTATAATTAATAGGGTCTAATTATTGTAGTATATACTAGGTACAACTGAGTTGTTACTAAAGTATAATAGCAACGACGCGTATTAGTAGCTCTGCCTAGTATATTGTAAGCCTTATATGAAAGAGGTAAAATACTATAGAATAGAGTATATAATAGATATAATAAGATACTAGAAACCTTAATATAATAGATAAATAAATATATAGAATAGAGAGAATAAGAAAGAGAGAAGAAAATAAAAATAATATAATAGACTCTTATTTATACTTTCCTCTAATAGATCTACCTATATAAACGTAACTGCACACTAGTAAATCTATATAGAAATATATATAACTCTGTTAATATTATCTACTCTGTAAGTTTCCTATCTATTATAGCCGAGTCTCCACCTTTCCTAATCAGGAAATATAAGATTATCCCCAACAGCCAAGTCAGATGGCTCATTCTTATAAAGGGGGGTGCTATTTATAATAGAATAACTACTATTAGAAGTAAGGTTATCAGGATGATATACTATAGTAGTTATGGGAGTTGTGAGGTTATTAATAGTGAATCTATATCTTCCTAATATCTATAAGGTACTGATTCCTCTGTAGAAAGCTACTGATCCTCAAGGATCAGTCTATTTTGTGGATATAGGCTACCTTTGTTATTACTAGACGAATCTATAAGTATTTAGTGGTTGATTCCTTACCTAGTCGACAGGCCTTCTACCTTGACAAGTAGATCCTATCACATATTAGTCTAGAAACTAATTATATTAAGATAGTAGTTAAGATAAGAAAGATATTAGTATATAAAACTATATCTTCTCTAGCTTTCTTAAATAATATTCAAGTTACTAATATTAGTAAATAGAAAGAAGATAAAAATAAAACTAGTTTTAAATCTTTAAAGTACTATTCTGAATATCTTCTTATAATCTATTTAATAGAATAGATATATTTATCTTTACTAAGTTCTTAATTATAGTAGATTCTTTCTCTTTAAATTATATTTAATAGTAAATTCTTGATAATTAATCTTACTATAGTAAGAATATCCACTAAAACAACTATAATAAATTTTCATCGAATATTAATAAAAATAGAGTAAATAGTGAATAGTTAGTATAATATTTTCTAAATATGTTAATATGTCATTATTATATATATATAACTCTGTAATTATATATACTTATAACTAATTAATAGCTTCAAGTAAAAAAAAAATCCTAGTCTATAATCCTAAGATTACTAGCTATATCTATTTACTAGATTCTTCTCTATATCTAGTATATAGCTTATAGAGATATAGTTAAAATAAGTATTAGTAATAAGTAAGAGATATAATAAATAAGAAATAAGTAAAAGATGAGTTATAGAGATGATTTAGAATATAGTAAATAAGATAAAATAGAGAGATATTAGAGGAGTTGAAAAGAGCTCATATTTCTACTATAGATATCCTACTAGGTCAAAGACCTGTTCTAGATAAATCTACTAATCTAGATATTCCCAATATTGACAAAACAACGGAAGGAGTTATATAAATCCTAGATAAACTAAGAATCATAACCAGGATATACTATCAATATTGACCGTCCTTAGGAGGTTGCTATCAGTGAAGGCTATTCATGGTTCAAAGATATTTGTTGATTCCTGTCTATCTAACTGCGCTGAGATACAGCGAAATATAGTGAGGACGGGAAGTCACCCGACATAAAAGGAAAGGGCGACAATTATTATTATTATTATAGATTAGTAGTTATTTATTCTATATTAGTATTATAAAATATATACTTAATTATATAGAGTAAACTATCTTTTATTACATATAAAAGATTTACTTCTAAACTAGATTTTAAGATAATAATAATCTTCTTAGTATAGAAATCTTTAATATAACTATAAATCATTCATCTTTTAAAATCATTACTAAGCTTAATAGTATAGGTAGGATATATATTAACTAAAGTATTATCTTGATTATATATATTAGATATAGTATATAGTATATCTTTTCTTAGAAGATAAGATAGTATATCTACTATAGTATTTGATTCTTCTAACTAGTAAAAGATAAGTAGATAGAACTATTATATATATTAAGAAGCTCTAGTTAATCTTAGATTAAGATATTTAATAGAAACTATATTAAATATAGTCTATTTAGAGATTCTAATAATAGATATATATCTTATATAGATAATAATTAATTTAAGAGAGACTTATATTAAATAATAAAGGTTTTAGTATATCTATACTAGATAAGATATTTCTAACTTAGTTAATTAATAGTTCTTCTTCATAGAAGACAGTATTTATAATAGAAAGATAATTTAAAATATTAATATATAGATAAGTAGTTTACTAACATTCTTATATATAATACTATATTTAATATAATATACTATAATATCTATTTCTTTCTAAGTATATTTAGATTTATATATTGATACTTAGTAGATATAAAATATATAAGAGATTTAAAATTACTAAAATTATCTTATAATATCTAAAAGAACTAAAGCTTCTTTAATATTAGGTTAATTATTAGTATCTTAAAAGTATAATTAGTATATAAACTTTTATTTAAATATAGTTTAAATATTTATGTCTTTCTATCTTAGAGTAGAGCAATCTTCTATATATAAGAAGATAAATAGTAATATAATTAATTAATTAAATTAAGAAAGTATTCAAGATCTATAACTAGAAAAAAAAGGTACTTAATTATCTTAATCTTTGATTTAGATATATTTAACTAAGATTATTAACTCTCTATTCTAATAGAATAATAGATAAAAAGTTTATATAGACTTTTTTAGATTCTAACTTTCAATTTATATTCTTAAAATAGTAAAATACTATAGGTAAATATTCTATATACTTTTTAAATATTCTAGAATAGATAACTATATTATCTATATAGATATAAGTAAATTTATAGAATTACTTTAAAGTTAGATTTATCTAATATAATATAAAAGAAATAGAATTGATAAATCTTATAATAATAATATAAAAGATCTCTTATCTTTTAAATATAACTACTATAAATTAGTTCTTATAATCTTTTTATATTAGCTACTAATAAAAGTAGATGATTAGATTGAAAATACTAATATAATAATATTTTTATATTATAAGTAGAATATCTTTTTATATAGAAATAGAATATAGATCTAGCTCTATCTTCTTATTTATCTCTCATAAATTAATAACTATATATTCTTTCACTAATCTATTAGAATACTTCTAGATAATAAAGATAAGTGTCATGGATAATCACCGGAACATTGGTGAACCGCTGACGGTTCACCCACATATCATTGATGCAACAGTCATGGCGTCAATGACCTGAAATCTCCCTGTATTTAATCTGGAATCTTGCGATTCTTTTCGAAGGGCAAGGATTAGTCTTGAAGAATAGGGACTGCTATTATTCTATACCTAACCGACCGACTTCATCCTAAACAACTATACTAATAGATAGAGTCTATATGTTTCTTAGAGCTACTAAAATATAGATATTTAACTATTATAGTATAATCTTTATTAATGAGCTACTTTAAGAGTAGTTCTTGCTAGAATATCTTTACTACTATCTAAATAAAATCTAAGACTAATCTCTATTTATTATTTTTACTTTTTTCTTTTGTCTATATCTTGCTTGTTCTATATTTATCTATAATTATTCTCTGTCGCCGACGCCTCCCTTGGAACTAGGGGGGAGTATCATTCTTTTCTTTTCTACTAGGCAACGCCCTGTCCTCGCTATGTCTCAGCGCGGTTAGCAGTTAGTAGATAATAAGGGTTTTCAGCCATCTTTGACCCATAATGATCGTCACTAGTAGCGACTTCTGAAGGACGGCCAACAATATTTAAAGCATAATATATCTAAAATATCTATAAATCTTATATTAAAGATATATATTATTATAGTTTTATCTGTAATCTATAATACTTCTATATAAAATCGTATATCTCATTTGATTCATCTATTCTAACTAAAATAATAGAGTTGTGATTTTTATTAGTGGTAGTTATATAGGGGAACGATGGTTTGCTGTCGTGCCGGTTCGCTGTCCGATTATGTTATAGAAAAATACACTGTATTTTATATAATCTTGCTATATATAGCTAATGAAAAAACTCTTTTGAAACTAGAGATCAAGTATAGCTACCAGATACTCTATTCGTTAAACTATAGAATAGGAAGTAGAATTGGCTGAGATTTTGGTCTAGCAAGTATAGCTTATTCGTATAGATAATACAGATGGCCAGCCTGCTCGTGTGGCCAGCCCGCCCGTGGATTACGTTACAGGGTACCCAAGTTGCCTAGTTATTGGTTTAGTTAGTTAGCCAAATTGACTAACTAGTTACTTAAGTTACAGATTCGTCATCATCCTCGTGGTCAAACAACCCGCCGCCGATCCCGCCAAGCGCTGACCAAATACGGAGACTACTAGCGCTATGGACTTACCGGCGTACTCCCTACCAGTACCTGAATACACAGTACCTTCCCGGCTTCTTCTACTTCTTGCACCCGACTCGAGATATTGATCGATTTGTCATTAGTGCTCCCCACCCATCTGGTGTGACTTCTGCCTCTTCAAACCCTTGTCATAGTTTTGTTCATATTCTGTATATGTTGCCGACGACCTGTAATTCCTGAACCTGGCTTGGGTGACGACTACCGAAATCACCGGCAATTCACAGATCGTGGGTGAATGTCACATTCTTCGTTCTGCCTATTTACAGAGTTGTATCGTCGGAGAAGTGGCTCTTGCAATTGGGTTTGGTCATCATCAATTGAGCTTCTGGTACGGTGTTGCGAGATGCGCCTAGCTCTTGACCTAACTGACATACACCAGCAACAGGATCTACCTTGAATTCTGAGTACAGACACTCGAATGAGCACAACACTCGTGACCGGTACTGGGCGGCGCTCGTCTGTGCTGCTCTCAGAGCTACAGATTCCAGTGACAACATCCAGTCCACAACAAATACCAATGACAAGCCCGATAGACAAATTCCCGCAATTCAGCGACGAGTCGTTCGACACACTAACCGAGCCAAGGGAACCTCACTCAGGTCCCTCGATCAGATATGCTCCGACACGCTGGGAGCCGCGAAAGACGGCGCAGTTGTCTTATGATGAGAAGGCCGTGCCTGCGCGAAATGCGAGACAGCGATCAAGAAAGAGTATCAGCGAGGCAATAAGCACCATTAGGACTCGCAATGGTAGTATGAGTGCGAATGCTCAGGAGCTGGCGGAGGCACTCAAGGCACCAGTTTCATACAGGTTAATTGTAATGCTGCATTTTTAATTTCTGTTTTCTCGCGGTGCTAATCCGGTGCTAGACTCTCTGTCTCATCTGGTACATGACCTCGGCTCTAACAAACACATCCTCAAAGTCGATCTTGAACGCGCTGCCCAAGCCAATCACCTTGACCATGGTGCAATTCGCCTTTGTTTCTTTCTGGTGCCTGCTATTATCGTTCATGTCACGATTACTACCTTCGCTCAAAAATAGCGTACCAGCCCTTAAGCATGGCATTTATATACCATCACGTGATATAATTGTTACCGCTTTACCTTTGGCAATATTCCAACTAGCAGGGCATATTCTCAGTTCCATGGCTACCTCACAAATACCAGTCTCCCTTGTCCACACCATCAAGGGATTATCGCCTTTATTCACAGTCATGGCATATCGTTTGCTATTTCGGATTCGCTACGCAAGAGCGACCTATTTGTCTCTCGTTCCGCTGACTCTTGGTGTTATGCTCGCATGCTCGACAGGATTTTCGACTAATTTCTTCGGTATTCTTTGCGCGCTAGTTGCAGCTCTTGTCTTCGTATCACAGAACATATTTTCGAAGAAGCTATTCAACGAGGCGGCGCGTGCAGAATCATACCTTGAATCCACAAATCGGCGAAAAATGGACAAGCTGAACTTGCTCTATTACTGTTCCGGTCTTGCATTTATCCTAACCCTGCCCATCTGGTTCGTTTGCGAAGGATACCCTTTGATATCAGACTTCCTGCAGGACGGTGCCATTTCATTAACAGGAAAGGAAGGCTCTCTCGACCATGGTGCTCTGTTCCTCGAGTTCGTATTCAACGGTGTGTCGCATTTTGCACAGAACATTTTGGCATTCGTTCTTTTGTCTATGATATCGCCAGTGTCATACTCTGTCGCATCATTAGTCAAGAGGGTATTCGTTATCATCGTTTCGATCGTCTGGTTTGGGAGCTCAACGACCCTTGTGCAAGGACTTGGGATCCTGCTCACGTTTATCGGGCTCTACCTCTACGATCGAAATAGTCATGATGATTTAGCCGACCACAGAGCCAATGCTGATCGGTTCCGCGTCAAGGAAATGGTGCTTCCATTGAATGTACGGACCACAGCGAAAGCTAGGCAGCCCAATGGCTCCGCTTCAGCAGCAAGCAAAGTGCCGGAGTATCAGTCCTTGGACGATTTAGACTCACATACAAAGGACTTGAAGGGTGAAGACGGCCCAGGTTATATTCGCCCAAGGGGGAGCAGTAGTTCTTGGGGTTGGCTGCCCCCGGGCACCCGACAAGAGACTACATGGCGTCCCAGTGACTCTTAAAAGTACAGTGCGCCTCGTGTTTTCTTTTTCATACTAAATTGTATTTTACTTTGATTTATGGCGGCCGAATCTTGTTTGTAAAATCATGATAAGTGACACGGGCGATCTCCGTATTTCGAGACTTCTAGTGATTTCTAGAGCTAAGGACGTTCGGAATAATTTCTTCAGGATATCGCCGCCTGCCAACGCGTGGCCGATACTGCCGGCGTGACAGTTTCTTGCTCCAGCAGTACATACATAGATTTCGATATGCCGTGGTTCCCCGTGAGCGATGGGGAAAAATGTTGCCTGGGAAGGCCATTATATAACATGTTTGGTAAAGAAATGTAGCATCTGTCAGTAAAGAACTATACCTGCATCAGACTGTCTCATTTTCACGTGCGCGAAGACGAGGACAGTCTTAAGGAGCTCCAGCTCAGTGCAAATATTCTAGGGCTATGTAGCAGAGGAGGAAGAGACGTGAAACCCTGCCACCTACAATAATCATGCCCATGAAATGAGTTTATTTAAGTCTGGGAAAGAAAAAGAAGGAAAACGGATGCGGAGAGACAGAGCTTGTTTATAGGAAGAAAGAATGCGGTTCGGATAATCTACTCTGCCGCAAGACCGAACCAATCCGCAGGCGGCAATTTGCGAGTGACGCCCCGACTCGTGTCTGGCAGAATCCGAGCCAGACCAAAAGTGCTCTCTCCAAGGACACCCTTCGCTTCAGTCCTGCCACCCTGTTACCACCTACTCTGCGGGTTGCCTCCGCCTCTCTAATTTTATTCCAATCTATCATATACAACTCCTTCCAGTATGCGGCCGCAGCTGCATCGTGCGGCCGCCCGGCTCACCCGGGTTCCAAAGGTCAACTCTCTTAGGACTTTCGCAACGACGTTTCCTCGCTCTGCCGAAGTGGAACTCACCATTGGTTAGTTAATGTGCTGGGGGAGTCACTTCATCGCATAACTAATATGTCTATTCAGATGGAAAAAAGGTCTCAGTCGAAGGTGACTTGGTCTGCCCCGTGTCGTCCCTGAACTATCCTCTTACATAACTTCACAGCCGGCTCGGCTCTTATTCAAGCCTGTGAAAAGGCAGGCGCGACAGTCCCAAGGTAAGAATGACTTTCTGGAAATCAAGACCTGGTGAGCGCAACTTAATTGTCATCAACAGATATTGTTACCATGAGTAAGACACCGCAACCATAAAACGGCTTCCCTGCCGAACGGCAAGCATTACTAATCTATTTGCAGGAAGCTTTTGATTGCAGGTAACTGTATGTTTATGCCCGGATAGTTAGCTTTTTTGAAATGAGTCTGATTGTTCTATAGGCCGCATGTGCCTCGTTGAAGTCGAGCGAGCACCCAAGCCTGTGGCATCATGTGCTTGGCCAGTGCAGCCTGGGATGAACGTCAAAACGAACTCGCCACTGGTGCATAAAGCTAGAGAAGGTGTTATGGAGTTTTTGCTTGCCAATCATCCCCTGGATTGTCCTATTTGTGATCAAGGTGGAGAGTGTGACCTTCAGGACCAATCCATGCGGTATGGTGCTGACCGTGGACGTTTCCATGAGGTTGGAGGCAAGCGTGCTGTCGAAGACAAGAATATTGGCCCTCTTGTGAAAACCTCCATGAACCGGTGCATTCACTGTACACGCTGCGTCCGATTTATGAATGATGTCGCTGGGGCCCCCGAACTCGGAACCACAGGCAGAGGAAACGACATGCAAATCGGCACTTACTTGGAAAAGAACCTCGACTCCGAGCTTTCTGGCAATATTATCGACCTTTGTCCAGTTGGAGCCCTCACATCCAAGCCCTATGCTTTTCGTGCTCGCCCCTGGGAACTGAAGCACACTGAATCTATCGACGTGCATGATGCTTTGGGTTCGAACATAAGAATAGATACTAGAGGCATGGAAGTTATGCGGATACTCCCGAGGCTGAACGACGATATCAACGAGGAATGGATTAACGACAAATCTCGGTTTGCTTGTGATGGTCTCAAGACCCAAAGGCTCACAACGCCTTTAATCCGCCGAGAAGGAAAGTTTGTCCCCGCAACCTGGGAGCAGGCTTTGACTGAGATTTCATCGGCCTACCAACGCCTCCAGGTGGTAGAGAACGAGTTCAAGGCCGTTGCTGGGCATCTTGTTGATGCCGAGACCTTGGTAGCCATGAAGGACTTGGCTAATCGGCTGGGATCGGACAATCTTGCACTGGATCAACCGGGCGGCAATTCTCCAATCGCTCACGGTGTTGACGTTCGCTCTAATTATCTTTTCAACTCTAAGATCTACGGAATTGAGGAGGCCGATGCGATTCTTCTGGTCGCCACGAATCCCCGCCACGAAGCTTCCGTTCTCAACGCACGTATTCGAAAGCAATATCTACGCTCTGATCTTCAAGTTGGGCTTGTTGGCGAGGAATTTGAGAGCACTTTCGATCTCGAGCACCTTGGGGCTGATGTTTCTGCTCTGAAGGCTGCTCTTTCTGGGGCGTTTGGAGAAAAGCTTTCTACTGCTAAACGGCCCATGATAATTGTTGGCAGTGCTGCAGCGGAACATCCAGATGCCAAGGCGATCTTTGAGTCGATCGGCACTTTTGTAGAGAAACATGCAAACAACTTCAATACCCCGGAGTGGCAGGGTTACAACGTTCTGCAACGCGCAGCATCACGCGCAGCTGCTTACGAAGTAGGCTTCACTACGCCATCTCTGGAAGTCTCTAAGAGCAAGCCCAAGATGGTTTGGCTTTTGGGTGCCGATGAGGTTGCCCAGAGCGAAATCCCTAGCGATGCCTTCGTCATCTATCAAGGACATCACGGTGATCGAGGCGCTCAGCTCGCCGACGTGGTCCTGCCTGGCGCAGCGTACACTGAGAAATCTGGAACATACATTAACACAGAGGGTCGTGTTCAGGTCACTCGAGCTGCAACTTCTTTGCCTGGTGCTGCGCGTGATGATTGGAAGATTATACGTGCTGCCAGCGAATTCCTCAACATACCTCTTCCCTACGATGACATTGAGGCATTGCGCGATCGTATGGAAGAGGTCAGCCCTGTCATGCGCCGATATGACGTGGTTGAGCCAACGTCCTTGGGTTCATTGAGCAAGGTCCAGTTAGTTGATCAGAACAAGGGTACCCAAATGACCAATTCTCCTTTCAAGAAAATCATTAATGATTTCTACTTTACTGACTCTATTGCCCGGAGGTACGTGTCTGACATAGTACCTCACCTTTGAGGCCTGCTATCTGTGCTTATTTGCTCTTCGTTCGTTGTACTGATTGTGGCTCTTAGTTCTCCGACTATGGCTCGCTGCTCCGCCGCTAAGGCTACCGGAAACCCGGAGACAAACTTCATGGCAGCTGGAGAGACTTCTCCAAAGGCTTTGTATGGCTAGATATATCAAATCTTTTCTCATTCTTGGCCCGGTTTCTTCCTCTTTGTCTGGTGGTCTAGGCGTTGTCGTTGTAACACCTAAACAACTTCTCCCTTTCATGCTTTTTGCTCTACTTCAGTTTATCCATATTTGAGTACTGTGCTTTCGCTGCTCATTTGTCTTAACCCTCGATCATGCCAAGATAAACCTCAAAAACGCCAGCAGTGGTGAAATCGCATGTACATAAGAAATTCACAACGATATTCGAGGAAACGGTAGCTCCAGTGAACATTTTTAGGCTTCCAATCTGGGTATTGTCTGTATTTCTGTAAGTTGTACATCGCATGGTTGAGCCTATCGAAGTATCCATGGAGATCGAACAGCGACTGAGAAGCACAAAATGTTACTTGAATTGCTTTCGAGCCTTGACTCACAACAGCTTTGGCTTATAATTCATCATCGTCTGTCTCTCCTGCACTGCTGCTGGCTTCTCTTTGTTGGTGTTGATCTGGTCGTGTAGTGACTATGGTATCTCCCGTCGTCTTGGCGAAGGGAAGCCCTCTGGGTGGAACCAGCTGTTTCTTGCCTGTGGGAGGTGAATGGATCTCTTTTGAGCCAAAGCTACGTGTCCGCGAACCATAGTTTGTCATCCCTTCTGTATCCTGATTATCGCTAGAGTCGGTATTTTCCTCTGAAGACCGCTGCGTCACAGGCAACTCGTTGTTTGTATCTGACACTGCATCGGAGCTTCCTTGGCGCTCGCCTCGCTCACCATGAAGATTTTCGAGGCCACTATGCTTGCTCCATGCATTAAAGGAAGCTATCGAGGCTGTACGATCCGGTCGCGTTCCGGTGGTTGCAGGTTGCTCGGTGCTGCCCGGGACTATATCCTGACCTCTGGACTCTATGGTTGCTCACTGATCAGCTTAGTCTTTGATTTTGGTAAAGCTTAGTTGATACCCACCTTCCTCCACTGCAAGCTCTGCGGGCACTATTACGCGCTGTTGCTTGCGGATTTTCAGCTTCTTCTCGTTGAGAAGCTGCATGAAATTGTTCATCAACTGTTCTTCGTGCCGAGTCTTGGCGACAATGAGTTCATCGAGCTGGGTAGTCAGATTCTCGATAGTCTGCTCAGCGATACGATAGCGATTTTGAAGGGTTGCACAGTGTACAGCAAGGTAGTCCGCCCTCCCTATCGCGGTAGAAGCCCAGTCATAGAGGTGGATAGCATGTTCGTCGTTCTGACTCAAAGATAGACTCCCCAGCGTTTGCTAGATATCTTCAGTGGGAGCGACTGGATTGGGACTGCTCTGAGCTTGCACGCACGGCTATTGTTTGAACTTTTTTTCGTATTACAATTTTCAACTCAAATTCGTCGGCCTCGGAGCTGGAAATTATAGCTGACGCCTCCAAACCCACAATTAGGTCTTTTTTCTTCTTGAACTGGTTTGTTTGTCCAAGGACGTGAAGAAGGATGTGCGTCCATTCATCCTCGGTACCTCGATAGTTCTTGGAACGATATGAGTTCAGGCGTGACTGCCGTACTACAACAGTGTTAGCTTGGGGAGTAGTGAAGGAGGTACGGTTCCCCTTAAGCAACGGCATTAACAGACCTGCGCCAGTGAATGGACGCTCCCCTTCGGTCCCGATAAGATCCAGGTCTAACGCAGAAGGACCACGATACTTGATGTGCATCAGTACACATGCATCGAGCTTATCGGATCTCGGAAAGCGCATGATCTGGGAGGACTGGTCACTGTTGCTAGTAGACATTTTAGTCTGTAGGAATGTACCCATAGATCATAGGTTAGGCGCTTGTCTATAAGTCCTCAAGAATCTCCTTGTCAGTAAAAGCAGAGGTAAGTGATAGGATGTCTAATCTGTTTAAGTTTTCTCTTCTGGTCCATTTGGACTTACACTGTTACCGGTGGAAGTAAGTGACTTTGAGCTGGTAAACTAATTGGTAAGTTCACTGGGTTAATTCACAGTACGGTAACAAATTAACCCAACTACATACCTAGTACAGTGAAACTATGACAGACACTGACTAAGCATCTTAGGCAACAGGCTTGGTTTGTTACAATAGGTAACTGACTAGTAGCCTGATGCATTGATGATGCATTGACTGAATAGAGGTATTATGAGTTGTAACTTATGTGAGTGCCTTGTATACTAAAATATATAACTATACTATCTATCTTTATACACATTGTCATGCAGTAATTCATATAGGATGAGAGAGATTCCTCAAGGACTCTCAACCCCACTGATTTTCAACTTTGACCACCAGAGCTCAACAGGGTTCCATTGCTTTACAACTCATCTACTGAATAGAATCTGAAGAAGCCTAGGTGAAGATGAGTTTATAAGGTGGGACAATAAATAGTATGTGTGTGTTTTGCTGCATTCTTCAGAGAGCACTAATGTAATTGGACACCAAACCAGTGCAACACTGAACTATTGTTTGCCTATATGACTACCACTATAGAATAGCAACTTTATTGTGGCAGCTGAGCTTGCCGATGTTCTGCTGGTGGTTATGATGCTGCCTGTCTTACTACCTGGGCGGGATTCTTTCCTACTAATGATTATCTTGAAGTCTTAGAAATCAATAATATTAAGATTATTATAATCAATTATAATTAAATTATATCTTTAATATATAATAGTATATTCTTGGTTATTATCTAGATACCTTTTCTATATATTCTGAGAATTTAATACTATTTTTCTTTGATCTGTATTACTTATCTATTCTGACTATATCCTGACTATCTCAAGTATCCTGATCTGATATTATCTATTCTCTTATAATCATATCTTGTGTCTATAGTTCTTACTAGCTACTATAATATTCTATCTTTTCTACTATCTATCTTATGGATTAATAATTTATCTATCTTATCTATATATTATTATTAACTATCTTTATTACTTATTATCTGTGTCCAATTATTTATTCTATTTTTAATATTATTATCTTTCTATTTACTATATTATATTTTTTTATTATATTAGATTTCTCTAAGTCTATGGTTGATCTAGACCAGTTATGTTAATATCTAGATATGCGATTGTCGATATTAATAATAGAACTTATCTATTAGATTATTTAGTACTTCAGTACTTTGACAAGTACTTTTTCTAGACTTCTAGATCTTGATATACTAATATAAGTATAATATCTTATTTAGCTTATATTAACTTTATCTTTTATAAAATACATTCTATACTTCTTTAATTAGAATATTAATAAGTCTATTCTAAATAAGAATATCTCTTTATTTCTTAAAAGACTAAAATATCTTCTTATATCTAATCTCTATATTAAGTAGCTTTAAGATCTCTACTTCTAGAAATTATCTCTTAGTTATATTAAGTCTTAAATTACTATTAGCTATATCTAACTATAATTAATAATCTATTTATTTATCTTAGTCGTGTCTTATTTATATATATTTCTTAGAATATATAGTAATATATTCTTTTAGTCTTATATTAAGACTATATCTTCTATCTCTATTATTAAGAAACTATTAGAAGATAGTTTTATATACTATTTAGTCTAAGCTCTTTTAGAGAAGTTTTTAGATAGTTTTCTATATCTATTTATTAGTTCTATTACTAATATAGATAAGAATAATTATACTAAAGATAATTCTACTATACTAGAATAAATTATAGATTAGAAGTACTAATAACTAAATATATAAATCTCTCTATTAATAATCTTATTTTAATATCTAGACTATATAACTAGAAGATTAGTATTTAGTAGTTTACTTTTACTTTTATCTATAAACTTTCTATTATTAATATTCTTACTATCTAGAGTCTTTTTAGAATTAGAATAACTAGAAACAACTACTTTAAAATATAGATAATCACTAGTAATATAATAGATACTAGGAATATCTACTTAAGCTAGTAATTCTAGCCTATCTAGGCTTAATAATAGCTCTAGTTGAGTACCGTAAGTTATCTACTAATCCATATTATTAAGTACTATCTTAAATCCAAATCTATCTATATAAGCTGATCTAGACAAATAGATATAAGAATCTAGTAGTTAATAAGATTAATATAATTAATCTAATTAATATATTTAATCTCTAAATATTATATACTTGTAGAATATAGAACTAAATAATATAGAAGATATTCTATAAGAGATTCTAGAATATTTTACTACTTTAGAATAGATATATAATACTTCTAGTACTAATTAGTTTTATTCTTCTAGATATTAGAAAGTCTTTATTCTAGATACCTCTTTTATTTATAGTAGAAATCCCTCTATTAGTAAATTTTCTAATACTAATTCTTCTAGTAATGATAGAGAAGACTTTTTAGAGTATAAGTATCTATAAGATACTCTATCTTAGAATATTATTTAAACTACTTATATTAAAGAATTAAAGTTAAAGAAAATTAGATATTTCTATTCTAATATATTTAGTAGTAAAGCTATAAGATAAGTATAATATAATATATTCTATAAGAATATATATATATTTATTAATTATATTAAGAATATAGTAGAATATTAAGATAAAGCTATAATAAAAAGTAATCTCTAAGTATATCTATATAGTAGTATATCAACTTAGTATATATCTAGTCTTATAAGTACTAAGAAATATCTTATAGTTTATATTTCTTTAGCTAAGAAATAGATTAAGAAGCTTAAGAAATATTTTAAATAAAATATATTTACTACTATAATAAAGTTAAATATTATATACTATAGTTTATCTAATATTTAAGCTAATAGATATATTAATTAATCTACTTAATATATAATATATTAAACTTAAATTATATAAATTAATAATATATCTAATTAAATTATCTATATATAGAATTAACTTAAATCTAAGAATAGATATAATCTAACTATTTAAAATAATAACTATAATATATTTCTTAAGTAACTTAATTAGTAGTAATATAATTAAAAAATTAGTAGTAATATAATTAAAAAAACTTAGTTGATATTATTTATAAAGAAGTAAATAGCTATTTTAGTATATATAGTAATTTAAATTTCTATTTAGAATATTCTATATTCTATAATTAAGAATAAATCTATTATATTTATAATTATAGTAATAATAGATTTACTAGTAGTAATAGATATTATAATTGTCAGACTGGCAGATCACCGGACTACCAAACCCTAGCCCTAATCTCTGGATTGAGCCATTTGAACCACTGTTCCAGCACAATCCATTTATCCCTGGCTATTTCACCCCTGCATTCTCACCCTGGATTCTCACCCCTGCATTCTGAATATTTTTGTTTCCTAATTAGGAAATAAATAAACAAAGGATTTTGGCTTAAATAGCCTGCTTTGTTCTATCATTTCCTGAAGATCATCCTGAACCAGTTGACCAGACATGTATTGAAATCAGTGGCTTGTTTATTTCCTTATTCATCATATCTTTGATTCTTTTGATTTTTATTATCTTTGACTTTGACCTTGCTTTGACTTCACTTCCACACTCAATTTGTATGGAAAAGTGAAAGTCAAATGCAGCCCTAATAAATTCTATTTAAAAAGAACTGAAACTCTAATAATAATAAATATCAAATTTAGATATTAAATCTATACTAGCTATTAAGATAATAATTATATTTTATTCTCTACTAGAGATAAAAGAATTAGATAATACTATTTTAATTATATTAGGAAATCTAATACTATATTAGAAATAGTAGAATAGAAATTCTTAAAAACAGAATATAGAATAATAAAATAACAGATAGTTATAGAACTAGTTGTAATATTAAGTATAAAAATAATACTCTTAGTCTTAAAACTATAATTAAAGTAACTAATATAATAACTACTATAACTAATAAGATAATTATTACAATTAAAATAATTAATCTAGTAATAGTAATATCTATAGTATCTATACTATAATAATAAATTCTATTCTTTCTAAACTCTACAAATATTCTGATTCTTTCTATTAGTATAATAATCTTTAATTTAACTATACTTCTCTATGTAAACTATCTTATATAGATTATTATTCTACTGTGACTTAGATCTATAGATTCTTATATAAATTATTATATATTATTTAGTAATCTATTAGATTTATTAAGAAATTCACCAAGAATTCTATTAATCTCTATACTAAAGATTAAAAAGAAATATATATAATAGAAGTAGTAGAAGATACTATATATTCTAATTCTTATAAACTACTTCTTATTAAGAATATTAAGATTCAAGAATTTCTATTTATCTATAGTAAAGATATCTTTACTATATTCTATATATATTATAGAGTACTTTTCTGTCTTAGAATATATTAAATAAATATTTTCAGAACTATAAATTAAAGATATTAGAGATTATATTAACTATATATAATTCTAATATTCTTACTATTATTAAATCTGATTACTATAAGAAAGATACTATATTAGAAGTATCTCTATATATAGAGATTAGTTATAGTATAAGTTAGATTATATATTATTTAGTTGTATATCTTAGTATATCTTAATACTAGATACTCTTCTACTATTATTAATACTAAGCTAGTATAATCTAATAATATTTTTATATTATCTATAGAGATTTCTCTTAATACTACCAGTATTAATTCTAGTTATTAAGTAAAAGAATATATTATCTTTAAGATATTTTTCTCTTATTCTTCTAATATATTTAAAGTAATATCTACTATTATAGATACTATATAGATCTATATATTTATCTATATTATAATAAAAGCACATCTAGTAAAAGATCTATATTTTAACTATCTTATTAAAACTAATATAATAAAATATAAAGATATAATTATTAACTATTAAAATAAGAATATAATTATTTATTTTTATTATAAATATATTATTCTAATATAGACAGTAATAAAGATAAATAGAATTAGTACTTCTATTTATATTATATAGTTTATAGTTATTCTAGTATATTTAAGAGCTTATATATTAGTTAAAGTATATAAGAAGCTTCTAAATACTAACTTTATATTTAAATTAAAGAATTCTATTAGTATTCTATTAATATTATA